ATTTCTAACTCTTTTCTGAATTCATTCAGAAGTTTATCCCTGTCTTCCTTTTGTTCTTTGATTTTTTTGTGTTTTGTTCAAATTCACTGAATTCTTTTATCATGTTTATAATTCTTTTGAGTTCCATGTCCTGCATTATCTCCAGGGGGTTCTCATTGTACTCCTCTACAGGACTATTGGTATTTGGTGGGGATATGTTATTTTGGTTTTTCATGTTATTATTTTTTCTCTGTGATTTTGACATGTGAATTTCTTTTGTAGTTTCCGATTCTTGTGTGAGACTCAAGCTTTCAAGTTTAGGTCCGCTTCTTTTTGAGAACTTTATGTGTCTTCATGGTTTACTTTTTGGGCATGAAAGGCTGGTTCCTCTAAGCTTCCAGTTCTCTCTTTTGATTTTATATTGGAGTGGCCAGATTGCTTTTGTTTTCAGGAGTTCCCACAGAAGCCCAAGTCAGATAAGGATCAGATGCTCTCAGTCTTTCTCCTAAGGTCTGGATCCCTCCAGGATATATTTTGGCCTCAGGAATTTGGGGGTTGGACTGGCTTGGGAGCCGAGTCCAGGAAGGATGCTGGTCTAGGGCAGCTAGTGGCTGTGCCACCCAGAATGCCAAGGAAGATGGGGGCAGGAGGCATCCCCAAGAGTCCCTGGGGACTGTACTGAGGAACTGGGTTGGTCTGGATGCAAAGGACTAGGAAGAGTAAAGGCCAGCCCTGGCACCCAGGAAAGAGGCTTGCAGGTTGTGCAGACCCTGGGACACAGAGGGAAGTGAGGTCGGGGCCAATCCCAGAGCACCCCTGGGGACCTGAGAAGGAACTGAGTTGCTCTGGATGCACAGGATCAGGAAGCAGTGGTGGTTCCCCAGGTGTCTGGGGCGCCATGACAAAGAATGGGACAGGACCCAGGCTAGGAGGAGAGACCAGCGGGGGAGATGGGAGGTTGAGTGAGGCTGGGGGAATCAAGGCTTGGAGGGCAGGATAGACTTACCCCGGAGAGAGAGGTCTGTGGGTTGGAGAGGGGCCTCTGGGTCCTGCAGGCCCAGGGAAGCAGAGGAAGGTGAGGGCGGGGCCAGGCCCAGAAACAGTGCTCCTGGGGACCTGAGAAGGAACTGAGTTGCTCTGGATGTACAGGATCAGGAAGCAGTGGTGGTTCCCCAGGTGTCTGGGACGCCCAGACAAGGAATGGGATGGGACCCACCCTAGGAGGAGAGACCGGTTGGGGAGATGGGAGGGGGAGTGAGGCTGGGGGAGTCAAGTCATGGACGGCAGGATAGACTTACCCCAGAGAGAGGCCTGTGGGTCGGAGAGAGGCCTGCGTGTCCTGCAGGCCCAAGGAACAGCAGTTTTCTTTTTAAGCAGGCTCCTGATTACTCAAGGCTTTGTTAGATTACAGAGCTTTGATAAAGTTGGCTTTGGTCATTTTTTGTCCCTTCCTTTCTTTTCTTTTCTTTTTATTTATTTTTTCTTTCTCTTTTGGCAATTTCATTGCTCTAGTGAAAGGATAGTTTTGGAGTTCCTTACTCTGCCACTTTTTGTGAATTCCCTCCCCTATTTCCAAAGTTTCAAGAACACTTCTGAATCCTCGTCCATGAATTGATTGTTCACTGCTTACCTCCAATTTTATCAGAGATCAGAGTATGTGTTGTGTATGTGGGCATGTGTGGGTGCACACACTCATGAGTGCTCATGTGGTTGACTTTGTGTGTTTTCTTTTATCATTGCCCACCTTATTTTTTGAGACAAGGTCTCTTAATAAACTTAGAGCTTGTAGTTTTCAGCTGAACTAACTGGCTAGAAAGGATCTGCCATACTGCAACCCCCCAGCACTGGGGTTATAGATGCATCCACTATGACCAGCTTTTTACATGGATCCTGGGGATCGAAACTCCATCTTCATGCTGTGCAACAAGCATTTCGCCCACAGAGTCATCTCCTCAATCCCAGTTGTTGACTTGTCTAATCCTCTCAGGGCTTTTTACACAGCGGAACACTGGCGGTGGCTGGGTAGAGCCTTCCCGGCTATGGGTAGGTAAGGGGCTCTAGTCAACTCATCCTTTGCTTTTTGCCTTTGCTTTTGGTTTTTGTGCAGTTGAACTTACCAATCTTTTTCTATAGTGAGACTTGAACTTTAAAAAAAACAAACAAAAAACAGGTCACTATTCCAGGCTATCCTGGAACTCCCTATGTAGCTGAGGATGATCTTGAACTTCTGGTCCTCCTGCCTCTACCTCCTGAGGACTGGGATCACAGGTATGTGCCACCATATCTGGTTTGAGTTCTGGACTTTTGAATTATAGTTATAAATGACCTCCCTGCTTCAAAGTAATAGAATAATTCTTCCCAATTTGCTACTACAAATTTTAAAGTCAAAATTTCCCACATTAAAAGCCTTGCTCACTTTAAATTTATTCTAAGTCATGATTACTAGATCCAACCATCTACTCAAATGTGTAGGTTCTTAAAAAATAGATACTCTCTTATCTTATTTTTATTATTTATTTGATGTTATGGATTGAATCCAGGACCTCCCTCATGCTAAACACACGTTCGTCCTCTGAGTTACACCTCTACGCCAACAATAATGCTCTTGGTAGCTTTGCTCAGGAAACATTTCCTCTGAAGAATTACAAATTGTAAAGCCAGGTATGGTGGCACACACCTATAATCCCAGCACTCAGGAGGCTAAGGCAGCAGGATCATTATCAGCTCAAGGCCAGCCTGGGGTACCTAGCAAGACCTTATCGCAAAAAATAAATAAATAAAAATGATGAGTGATGAATTACTTGCATTGCTCTTATTTGGGGGTGATCTGGTTCTAATCGAAAGCTACTTCACAGAGTGCATCAAGCATGGTCAGCCTATCTCCCTCACATGAGGGAGCCTTCTGTTTTTGATCTGTAAATGGTGATAATGGTTTCTGCCCTACCTATTCCACAGGGTTCCTATGTAATTAACCCAAGCAATGCCTGTTCCAAGGGCCGTGGTACCTGCAAAATGCTAAATATCGTGCAAGACAGCAGTATCAAGAAGAGTAAGATCCTAGCAGCACTTTACACTCAATGGTGCTTGTTCAGTCTAAGCACCACGACCCAGAGCAGGGCTCAGAGCATAGCAGGCAGCCTCAGATGAGTGCTTGAGCGTTTCAAGTCTTTATATTTTGCCAAGTACTCCTATTTTATTTCACTGAACAAAACACTCCAAGTAGCTGATCTCTTGGAACCCGTGTTCTAGTGGGCCAGAGAAGTACAGTAATAAAAATAAATGAACTATATAGTGCATTAGATAGCAAGCAGTGCTTGAGAGAAAAATAAAGCAAGCAAGAGAGAGTGTTGGGGGAAAACATGCAATGGGGCAGATAGAAACTCTCAACTAGGAAAGTGACATTTCAGTAGATTTAAAGGAGGTGAGAGAATGGGGAAAGAGCAAAGGCCCGGGGGTTCACACATAAGCAGAGGCCAGTATGGCTGGAGCATAGAGCAAAGGTGAGTCTAGTGAGTAGTACAAGAGGGGCTTAAGGGGCACAAGAAGCAGGAGCCAGATCTGATACGGTCCTATAGCCACTTTCACCTTCAGTTAAGGCAGAAAGCATGAGGAGGATTTCAGAGAGATGATCAGGTTCTGACAGAATCCCTCAGTGGACTCTGTGGAAAACAAATGGAAGAGAAACCAGGGAGGAAAGCACAGAGCCTCGAAGAAGCACTTAAGAAACAGAGGGAAGGGGTTGAAGAGATGGCTGAGCAGTTAACAGCACTGGCTGCTCTTGCAGAGGACCTGGGTTCAATTCCCAGCACCCACATGGTGGCTAACAACTGTCCATAACTCCAGTTCCAGGGGATCCAACCCCCTCTTCTGGCCTCCACGGGCTTTGCATGATACAAGTGTACTTATATACATGCAGGCAATACACTCATATACATAAAATAAAAATGAATAAATAAATTTTTTTTAAAGAAACAAGGGGAGGCTGGACTCTGCCAGTGGTAGCAAAGGGCATGTTGAATTCTGGATCTGTCTGGGGCACAGGCTTGTGGGTGGGATGCAGGATGTGGAGAGAGAGTCAAGGATGGCTCTGAAATGTCAGCTGAGTAACTTATCATGCCTCCCTTTGCACCTGAGGAAACGGGTGGAGAGGTTAGGGGGGTCCTTCCAGGGTGATGCTGCACATGGTTAGAAGAGCTAAACCAGGATCTGCCCTGAGCCTGGGTCCTGTAGTGAGCCTCTGTTGTCTGTAGCTGAGTGCTGGAGGGGCAGGGCTGAGACCTGCCCAAAGGTTCCTACCATCATGCTCCTCTTTGTAGAGGGAAGGCCAGAGAGGTGCACAGCCCTACCAGGTGGGCAGCTTCACCCTACGACTGCCCACTGGTGCTGCGGAAGCTCATACGCAAGGAAGACATCAGGGCTGGTTGCAAGTGTGTTGTGAAGGTGCCCATGGTGTCCGACTTGGAGCTGGAGCGCTTTCTGTCTGCACCCCGAGACCCCAGCCAAGTGCTGGTATTCGGGATAATCTCAAGCCAGAATCCCAGTAGCACTGCACAGCTGCAGTGGCTCCTGGACACACTGTACAGCCATCAGCAGCAGGGCCGTGGCTCGCCCTGCATCCAGGTTGGTCCTGGGCCCAGTAAGGAGGCTCCTTGGGCAGGGCCAGGGAGGCAAAACCAAAGAAGATTTCCCACTGTATAAGGATGAGCCAGGACCTTGGCACATATGCCCCCTCCTGTCTGCAGGGTTTTACTCCATCTCCTCTCTCCCATTTATCATCCTCTCCCAGAAAGAATGTTCTCACATTGTGGCAGGTGCTTCTTCTGCCCCTTGAGACAAAGTCAAAGCACAGTCCTTTTCTTTCAAAGCACTTAGCATAGCTTGTAGCTACAACTGGTGTGACTGTTTAAGAGTGAAGAGTGTCCACCAGTGTCTCCTCATAGTACAGTAAATATTTGTGAACTGGTCCCAAGTACCTACTATGTTCTGGGCTTGTGTCAGGCTCTGGATACCCTCCACTGGCTCAGCATGAGCCAGTCCATGAAGTTCCCAGCATGACACCCGCTACAGCAGATCCCTGAAGTCTATGACAGGACAGCTCTGGGATGTTGCCTACTGCCTACTGTGGTAGGGATGATCATTCTGGGACGCTCAGGGCTTTAGCAGGTAGATATGTGTCCCTGGCAAAAGCAGTGGCCTGTACGGGGGTGAAGGCAGTTCAAGATCTCAATGTAGTCGGGTTGAAGTCTAAGGGGGTGTTGTCCAAGGGTTAGGGTACAGGGAATTCCATCATCCTCCTTGCCTCTGTGGAGTTGTTCCTGAGTCTCAACCTTTGTCATCTTCTGAGTGTACCATTGTTCACAGCAGCATTAGCGTAGGTGAAAGGCCGAGCCCCAGACTCTCATGGACATGTCAACACAGACAAATGGTCTAGGTGACTTCTTTTAAGCTGTCCTCCTCTTGAGCCTATTGGAATGCATCATCTCTGCCCTACTCCACTCTGCTGCTACAGAGTTCTGAGTTTGTGTGTATAGCCTGGGGTGGAGGGGTCTGCCTGGATACCCCCTCTAGCCCTTCCTCTAAGAGTGCTGCCTTCCATACCCTCCCTCAGGCTTGCCTGCCACCCAGTTCCTGGAGCTCAGCATTTAGAGCCCTTATAAAATATGACACTACCACCACAGCCCTGCTCCTACCTCTTTTCAAGACAAGTCAGCCACAAGCCTTTACCCAGCCCCTGCAAGAACCACACTTGTTTCCTACAGTTCATTTCCAACCTAGTTCAATTCAAGGAATGCTTATTGAGAACCTGCTCTGGGACCTCATGTTTAATAACAAATAGAATCCCGACCCTCATGGGAACTTAGAGTTGGCTTAGTTCATTCTAGGGCTATTAATTGTTCACTAATAATTGTTCCTAAGGACTAGAAATGTTCACGTGGCCTATCCCGACCTCGAGCAGTATGAATAGGGTCAGGACCTGACCTGAGGTGGTTGGAGGACATGGAGGAGTGGCAGTGAGTCTGAAGACAGGCTTGGAGGGTGGTGGTGGCCTTCACAGTGGCTCGATGTCCACCATTAGCGAACAGAGCTGTTCCCCACAAACTCTCACGCACAGTAGTGAAACACCAGGTGTGGTTCTACGTTGATATTCTAAACTTACAGATGAGTGTAACAGAACAGTGAGAGGTACCTAGAAATAAAGTCAGAAGGCAGCTTATTAGCCATAGTACTGGATTTGAAGCTTCCAAAAGGAAGAAGAAAGAGATTCTGAACTTGTCAGCCCAAACTTGTACTGGATTTAATGACTGGAAGGGGTCAAGAGGGGCAGTCATCAAGGGGTGGGGTTGAAGGACTCATCTGGTTCATTTAGAGAGGGGCTTCTATCTTTAGACTTCCCTGAGCAAGGAGCATCACTTTCCAAAAATCCCAGGGGCCAGCCTAGTGCTGTCACATGTGGGGCAGTCATCCAGTGATGCCTTCTCCCACTGAGGGCTCAGAGTAGATCTGAAGACCTCTGGGGACAGTGATGAAGTCATATGCATCTTCTTGCATGGGGGTGACCAGCTCCCATATTTCTATTTGGCAGTGCCAGCATGACCCCTACCGCCTGCTGCGGTATGACCTGGAGAGCCCCCTGCAGAAGATTCCACCCCTGATGGTGACGAAGTTTGCTGTGGTGCGTGGGATGGTTCTGGTAAGGGTCCCTGTGAAGGGTTAGACATCTTCCACCAGCCACTAGAGCCTCAGCAGCCCATGGCCCTGCAGATTTAGAGATGGGGAGAGGAGGACAGGGCCTGTAGATCCTCTCCCCACCCAGGCTGAGGCCCAGGCAGCAGGACTGACTGATAACCCAGAAGAACCCATATCCTCCATCCCAGGAGAGACAAAGGGGTCAGGTGATATTAACCCAGAGAATCAAATTGTGTTCATCTGTTTTAATGCACTTTATACCCCAAATACTCTAAAACTTTATACATGCTCATCACTGAAAACTTAAATAATACAGTCTAGAAAATAATGACACTCTCACATCATCCATAATCTCACTTGTTCATCCAACACTTGAGTTCTGGGCCCTCAGGTAAGCCACACCCACCTAACATTGTGGTGTGTGGCCTTTGCTGTCTTTCTCTCCAGGGTGCAGCCTTTCCAACAAAATAACTCTGCATTTCTCCACATCTTCTGTTGTAACATCTGAGTTTCTACTACTGAATATAAGTCTGCCATGTAATCTCTAACCATGCTGCTTTTGTTGACAGTTAAGTTCTTTCCCTCCTTCCCTCCATTCATCCTTTCCTTCCTTCTCCCTGCTTCCTCTTCCCATAATAACAGTGGGATGAATATCCTTGCACAGCAATCTCTGGACAAGCATCTATGTGATAGAGAGTTACTAATACACAGAGAATGGATGGTGTGAGAGCCTGCCTCCCAGAGGCCCCCATTCCATGTGAGGAGCTGAATGATGCATCTAGATAAGTGGTTTAAAGCAGAGAGAGCCAGCAGCTGTAGAGTAGGAGCCTTGTGAGTAGAGAAGTGACCTTTCTGGACCCTAAGGATCTGCAAAGGGCCTGTGCGTGCAGTGGCATTTGAATAAGTTGACCCAGTAAGAGTCAGAGGCTTGGCAAGTCAGGCTGCCCTCTGACTGGAGAGGGCGGGGCTGGACATGTGCCTGGCTCAACCATACCTCCCTGTGCTGCTAGGGAAGGGTAGCAGGCCTTCCCCAGCCACCAAAGGCCCGAGTCCTGGCCCAACTTTGAAGAATGTGCAGCGAGTTCTGCTAAGACTAAGAACCTGGCTGTCATCATCAGCCCTGATGCTGTGCCAGTGCACTGGGGGCTTCTCTGACTCCATTTCTTTCCTGTCTGCTAATAGATGTTTGCAGGCGGGAAGCTTCTTTTTGGGGGCTGCCTTCTGAATGGATATGGCTTCAGCAAGCAGAATCTGCTGAAACAGATCTTCCGGGCTCGACAGGATTGCAAGATGGGCTATTTCCTACCAGACAACTACAAATTCAAGTAAAACTGGACAAGGCACCCCACAGGGAGGGACAGGAGACTTGGCCTGTGGGAAGGGCATGGGTTGGGGATAGTTGGTGCCAGAGCATGAGGTCGGGAAGAGCCAAAGATGGGGAGTAGGGTGCAGCCTCCACCTACAGTTTCCTTAGCAAAAGCTATAGCAGGACTTCGCAGGTGGGCAGGGGAAGAGTGAGAGCAGGAAGTTGGGGGAGAGAGGCCATGCTGTTTGTCTCTTGGGTCACAAGTTTGGACAGAGGGCATCTGGCAGAAAGAGGAGCACTGTTGACCAGTTCAGAAGAAATAGTAAGATGGGTTTGTTGAGCAGGAGGCCCAGTCACACACCCCCATTGCAGTGTGCTGAGCTCCACCCTGTGTGCACACTCAGCCTGACTTCTGCTGAGTTCCTTGGTGGTCCCCATAGACACAGTCATCCATGGAGAGGCCTCAGATGTGGGCATCCAACCAGGTGGACCACCTACTGAGCTCCTCCAGGCCTCTCCCTAATGAGCTGTTGAAGGACAATCTGTGAGCTTCAGACCCTGCAGTCTAGTTCAGTGAGGAACCTGGCCTTTATGACGTTCCTGAAGACTGCATTTGAGGAAGATGAACAGGGTCCAGATTCCACTGTGCTCCACAGTGCAGATCCCTGGAAACCTTGCCAGGTCAGGGATCCCAAGACAAGGCTGGAGTCCCTACTTTGCTCTACATTAGCTGGGTGACTGTCAGCTAATCAGCTGAGCTCCCAAATCCTTAGCTCCTCACCTTCAAAATAAAGGTGAACCTGGCAGGACTGTGAGGGTCTTATGAGTATTTGTAACAATCTCCGTAAATGGTAAAACATCATCAAACATATACCAATATAGCCTATATGCAGACCTGGGCTATTTGTAGCACACCCCCACAGCACCTAGTCCAGGGCCCTTGTTCCCACACAGACCTGCAACTTTCCATCTTGATGCCACTCACCCCAAGGGGCTGATTTAGGTCAGTCTGCTTCATTCTGAGGTTAGAGATCCATTCATGGAAGATCCACGGAGGTTACAACAAGTGACTCAGTATCCTAGACGGTTCAGTTGAAAAGGCAGGAGGAGAGGAGCCTATGGGCATGACGTAGGGCACCCCATCACTCAGAATATGAGGAGAGCTAGAGGGCAGAGTCCTTAGAGGCTAGACGTTGACAGACCCAGGGAGATGTGAGGCTGAGTCTCAGGGACTGCTCAGGGTTAAGGGAGAGATGTATGAGAGGTGAGGGTCTTCTGAGCATTTATGTCGTAAGTCTACCACCTTAGTTTCCCTGCTTTTCCAAATAAATTAGAAGACAGGAAAGGAGTGGATTTATTTGCAGTTTGGCCAAATGAAGGTGGTATCTAATTCTGTCCCACTAAGCTTGTAGTTATCTTTCAGTTTATAGAAAGCCATGAGACAAAGACTAGGACATATGAAACTTTACCTATAAACCCAGGGCTCAGCCTCACTCATCCAGGCCTCCTGGTCCTAGGTGGCAGCACTCAGAAGACTGGAACCAGGAACCAGCCAGACAGCCTTGGTGTAAAGCATGTGTGGAATGTGGTCTGTCACAAGCACCCTTGTGTGGGACTATATCCATTTGTACACAACATTCACATTCATCTTCTGTCTCCCTCACTAGGGTTGGGGGCAACTAAAGGAAGTTACATGTGGTTTGTAGGCCTCACCATCTGTGCCCACGAGCAGAGAGGTGTTGCCCTGCCATGGTCACACTCTAGTGAGGGCTAGGAACAAGAGAGACCAGGACAGGGCAGCATGAGATTCCCAATAAGTCTGAGACAATGGGACAGCAAATAAGACAGAAAAAGCACAAAGGGGCTTGGCCTAAGTAGTCCCAGAATGGATGTGTGTGTGTGTGTCCAAATATCAATGAAGCAGTCAGTGGAGACCATCTCCTGTCTCTAATCAGGTTCTTGTCCCACCCTGCTCCAAGAATAGAGTAGGGAGACAGTGGAGAGTACAAACCCAAGGTACTTGTCTTAGTTTGTTCTTCATTGCTGTGACAAAACACTCTGACCAGTACCAACTTGGGGAGGAAAGGGTTTATTCAGCTTACATCTCCCAGGTCGCACGCAGTTCATCAGGGAGCCCAAGGTAGGAACTCAGGGCAGGAACCTGGAGGCAGGAGTTGGAGCACAGACCATGGAGGAACGCTGCTTACTGGCTTGCTCCCCCGGCCCCTGCTCAGCCTGCTTTCTTATGCAACACAGGCCCACCTGCCCAGGGGTGGCACCACCCACAGTGGGCTGGGCCCTCCCACATCACTCATCAAGAAGATGCCCCTCAGACATGGCCACAGGCCAGTCCAATAGAGGCAATTCCCCAATTGAGGCTCCCTCAACCCAGGTGTGTCAAGTTGACACTAAAGCTATCCAGCACAGTACTTTATTGTCAATTCTGAATTCACGGCTTTAAATAGGATAAAACAACTTTGAGCAGATTGTCACAGGATTTGACAATTTAAATGGAACAGGTTTGAATTCTTGGTAGCAACATTATGCTAGCCAAGAGCCCTTACAGTTTGAGAAGTTTTACAGCTCAGAAGTTCTTGGAGGACTGTGGCGTGCCAACCTAGAGCAGTCCCCTTGCAGAGCAAGTCTGCAGTCACCCATGAGAGTAACGGGAGCCACAGGTCTCTGATCTCCAGCAAGTTTTGAAGGTTGGAGTTGCAAGTCTCTGATGCAGCAAGTCTTGGAGACTGGAAGCAGCTGCAGGAATGAATTCTTGGCTGCAGCCAAAGTGTGGAGTCTTGGAGACTGAGGCAGGAATGAGTCCCGCTGCTTACAGCTGCTGGTCAAGTCCTGGAGGCTGCTTTGAGTGAGCTTCCCAGGGCAGAAGCCTCAGGAACGGGGAGTCTGAAGATTCTGCCAGGCTGGGGGCTGTTCACTGACGTCCTCCTTCTTTTCTTCTTCGCTTGGACTCCTGCAGCAGTTCTCTCTGCAGCTCCCAGAACCGTCCAAATTTATGGGGTGTCATCTGGACCCTGATTGGCTGAATGTGGGTATGAAAATAAGGCAAAAAATAGGACCAATCAGAGAAGAATTGTTAAAGTTGGTGGGGGAGGGGACGTACCCTGAACTGCTCTCCCCCCAAAAAATGTTGCTAAAAGTTCATAATCAAGTGCAGAAGTCTATCTGCAGAGGTAGGGAAAATTGCAAGAAAGTTTCTGTCTGTTCCAGGTTGCCAGAGAGGCTCTCAGTGGGGAGTTTTGGTCAGGCTTCTTTTTGTTTCTTTTGGGGCAGCTGCTCCCTTGCACCTTCTTTGCCCTTGGGGGCCTGAGGCCTCTCAGAAAGCTCCACACAGCAGAGAGGCACACCCAACTCCAAGAGCAGGAGGCAAAGTACATGCAGCTTGAGCTCCAGCCCAGGCGACTGTCTCTTTTCTGAGAGTTTTCTGGCGCTATGGGAAGTTTGGAGGAAAACAGAGAGGGCAGCTAAGCTGTGGAGGATTCCATGGAGGGGACGTGGCCAGGGTTGGAAGTCTTTGCTTTGTCTCCCCCTATTGTCACACCCTTTCTGGGTTCTGAAAGGCTAGTCTCCCCTGTGCCAGAGGGCCTCCCCTGTGCCAGAGGGCTATCTATTTCTCTGCCTACCAACCGGGTCCCCAGGATCAGAATATGCCTTACTCGCCATCTTGGCCCTAGGTCTGGTGCTGGGCCTGAGGTCTGTGTGCCCTGAAAGTGTCTGGGGGTAGTGTCCTGCAATGCCCTTTGCAATGCTTCCTGCAGGGCGTGGCATGGGCCTTTGGGGAGAGGAGAGTGGAACTGTGACTTTCAGCTCTGCTGCTATGTGTAGCAAGAGTCTGGAAGGGCGAATCTATAGAAAGGCAACCCAGAACCCTGAGTTAGGAGATCTTTTGCCTCACACATACCTTGCAGAAGGAGAAACTGAGGCCTAGCAAGGAAAGTGATGTGCCTTGCATAGGAAACGAGGCCAGGCTGTGCCACGAACATGTTTCTGTCTTCTGTATACTTTTTCATGTCCTGAAGGGATGGGGCATAATCCTTTCAAGACTATTCTTACAGGGGAGAATCAAGAGCTACCAGAAATAGCCACACTTTGCAGTGACAGTGTGCTTTGGAAACAGTTGTGTCCCTGTAAACGGAATGTTTATGTAAACTGTAATATGCTCAGTGGACCACAGAGAACCTTGCAAATGGTCATGAAATCTGTGAAAGACAAGAGTTCTTTGTAAATTGTTCCATCCCTGATAAGTCACAGTGGACACTGGGAGCTGCAGAGTGCCCTGTAAGCTAGGAAAGGTCTCAAAAACTTCTGGGCCTCCTTGAAGACCTTCTCCTCCTAAATAGCACAGTACTTTGAGAGCTGTCATGTGCCACACACAGTACTCAGTCACCTATAAAGTGCCCTACCCCACATAGCACTTTGTGAACTACTGGTGCTCTATAAAGGACAATGTGTCTATAAACTGTCAAGCACCCTGTGGCATACAGACTGCAGTGAGACCTCCTAAACACAAGGTGGTATGTAAATGACATTGTGAGCATCAAAGGATTTGTGAACCATCATGATCCTTATGAACTTCAGGTGAAGATGTGCTGTGCTGTGAAGTGCTAACCAGATGTGAGGGAGCGCTTCATCCCTGTGTCACTGTACTGCACACATTTCTTTCTCGCCTTAGGAGAGGTAGGGCAAACTGAGTCATGGCAGGAGACAGCTGGGGAACAGTGAGGAGAGCCACAGGCAGCTGCAGCCAGGTGCTGTGGTCTGAATGTCTGTGTCCTACAGATTCATGGGTTGAAATAATCACATTCATGGTGATGGTGTTAGGAGGTAGGGAATTTGGAAGGTGCTTAGCTCACAAGAACAGAGCCTTCACCAGTGGGGCCAGGGTCCTTATGAAAGAGTGCCCAGAAGCCAGTTTGCCCCTCATACTACTTGAAGAGAGTGAGAAGCTTCCATTGACAGAATGTCATTCCCAAGTGTCACCAAACACTGAATCTGCTGGTGCCTTGATGATGGACTTCCGGTCTCCAGAACTGTGAGCAATATACTTCAGCGGTCTGTAAGCCACTGGGCACGGTGTTTTGTCAGATCAGTCAGAAAAGTCTGACATAAGGTGCCCCAGACTGAGTAGCTTAAGCAACAGGTTTATTATCACCTCAGTTCTAGAAACTGAAAATCTGATCCAGGTGTGGGCTGGGCTACAGTCCCTCTCAAGCTGTGTTCTGGTCTCTCCTTGACATTGGTGACAGTATCACCATGATGTGGCGCTAGTTTCATGGGATTAGAGGCCCATCTCACTCTAGAGTGACCACATCTCAACTAGTATTTACAAATAAATATGTCATGTTTTAAAGTCCTAGGGTTAAGATTTCAACATGAATTTGGGGACACATTAGACCCACAGCACTGAATGATGACATCAGTTCCTCTGCTTCTGGTTGTCTCTCCTTTGCTGCTTTGCAGAGCCCTATGTACCCTGTAGGCATTGCCTGCACTTAGTGCAGCATGGACTGGGCAGCTGGTATGGGAACTTGGACTATGCAGCCTTTCACCAAATCCAGGAAACTGACCACCGGTGGTCTCTGGGTCCCCAGAGAAGGCAGTTTCTCCCTTGGCACAATGAGAGGAAGAGTGTTTTAGTCTCTCTAGAGGCTGGAACAGGACAGGATGGCACTGAGTGAACCTTGCCTCCGCTCCACTAAGCCATGCCTTCCTGTCATCCTTCCCCTGTAGCATGACAGCCTCTATCACAAGCCTGGAAGATTCCGACTCAGCTAAAAGAGTCCCATCCGAAGACCTGCAAGGAAGTATATTTTCATTGACGCTTGGGGACAAAGTGGAAAAGGCACTTTCTCCCTCCCCAGACAAGTATGTGGCCCCCATTACTCTGGCTGGCAGATTAGGTATGACTCACTGAAGGGTCCTTGGCTCTGTCACAGGCTACTAAGGCTACTGGTAGACTTGTGCCTTAGCAATCTGTGCTCCACTCCCCAGTGCAGATCAACTCCTGACTTCCAGCCTGTTTTGCCCAGTGTCCCCTTAGGCAGCAGGGCTGTTCCCTGGGTAATTCACTTTGTAGCAAAGCCCCACAGCCCACAGGGTGGAGACTGCCCCACACTCCAATGAGTGTGTTGCTGTCAAATTCTACGAACTTCGTGATGGTGACAGGAAACTGAATCACATCACCCTTCCCAGAAAGACAGAAAAGCACAACTGGGATCAGGAAGGATGTCACAAGTACCCCTGGGCCCCAAGTTAGAGCTGCCCTCTTCCCCTGTCCCAGAGGGCCATACTGTCCTCAGCCAGGCCAGGTTCCCCACCTGCCCTGTTACCTGCTTCTCCCTGTTGCATGCTTAGGTTGAAACAGCCTGAAGTGGAACCGGACAGTTTCAGTAAGCTCAGGAGGAGCCGTAAGAAGATCACTAGCTGGAAGAAGCCGGGTTTGAGGAAGTGACGCTGCTATAGCCAGCATTGCCCTCCCCATACCCAGCCCTAATCCCAGTCCCCATCACCTTCAATAAATACACTGCCTCCAGCACCTGGGTGGGCAGGGCAGGCCCAGCTCTGTCTGACTCCAGGGCCAGAGGTTCCCATAGCCAGGTTCAGGCCAAGTTCTTGGAACTTGCTAACCCCAACTCAGAGCTTCTTCTGTGACCAGGAGCTGGCTCAACTGTTCCAAAAACTTGGGGAGCCTCAGCTGGGGTTGGACTGTGTCTTCTGCCTTCTCCCTTCTGGGTGGGAAAAGCTCAGATTCTGCCCAGGTAGAAAGAAGAAGAGAGAGGGGGACGGCAGAGGGACACAGAAAGGCAGAACAGAAAGGAGAAGAGACAGAGGAAGTGGTGGACAGAGATGAGAAGGCAGGGCTGGAGGGAGAAGGAAGGGGGCAGGGGCAGAAAAGAAGGAGCGAGGAAGAAGGAGGACAAGAAGAAAAGGTGGACTGGGTAGTGGCACCAGTGGCCCTTCGGGAACCCTGAAAAGCCAGAGTCGCAGCCACTTCGAAGGCTTTCATCCCCATTTAGCCCAGCATTGGAGCACATAAGTGGATTAGAGTCATCTTCCCTTGAGCCCACAGGCCTGGAGCGTTCTTACCAGCAACCAGGGAATTCCTCTGGGGTGGCTGCTTTGTCCCTTATCTCTGAGAGTGCTGGAACTCTCACCAATGCATGGCTGTTGGCTCTGGGCTTGTCTGGGTACCCAAGAGCCAGATCTATGTTCCCAGAACAGATTGTGGAGGGTCTGCCTTGGCCTTTGCATCCAGAAGCGGGTGCAGACCCTAAACTCCAGGCAGCATTTGGTGATGTATTTTATGAATAACCATTTGTGCTTCCTCTGAATTAGATGCTTTTTAACTCTGAATTTTTCAAGGCTTATGTTTTTTCTTTTTTTATCTTTTGTAGATTTTTCAGTTGATGTTTGTCCCCTTAGAAATTAATTGGAAATGGTCTATTTTGTTCTTAAGTTGTATATATTGCTCTTTTCAGGCCTTAATGTTTGTTAGGGAACCTAGGGCTCTAACCACTCTCTCCTTCTCCCCTCCCAAGCACAAGGACAGATGAGGGCTGGAGGGCAAGGGGATAAAGTTCTGTTCCATCCTTATACACAGACACCACTCTGGCCTGATAAAGGTTAGAACCAAGGTCTTTGCCCAGGCTAGAGTCTAAATGAAGCCTTTCACCTGAGGCCATGTCCTCAGTCTCACATAAATGTGCCAAGCAATCAGCAGCTATGTGTACCCAGAGCACAAGCAGGACAGGCCCTGGCCCTATGCTGGGTACTCACCACCCTGGAGGGGGAAATGAGCAGCCTGGGTACAGGGACACCTCCTGCTGGTGGAACAGGCCCATGTATGTTCAGGGCCATATCAACAGATTGTTCCTTACGAAGGAGGAAGCGGAGAGAGGAAAGCCTTCTCCATGGAAACGCCAGGAGTGAGGAGGTAGGCATCCCTCTGCAGTGCCCCTCACAAAGCAGGCAGAGAGCAAGTGCTGGCTTGTCTGAGCCATAATGTAATCTCTTGTTGATTAGCACAGGGCCTCTTAAACTTTTTCCACTTGGGACCTCTTCACCCAAGAAATTTTTACATGACCCTGGGCATATAGGTGAATAAAACAGGTATACAAAGCAAACTTGTACTGATAATACATAATAAATTTATGTTAAAACAATTCTTTGGAATACATATGATTGTTTTTCATTTACTAAGGAGGGAAGCAAATTTTCATATTAATGAGGTGGATGTCCTTATTTATTTTTACATCAGGAATTAAATCTTGGCTGAATATTTGATACTGTAGGGCTTAAAACATCTTGTTACTTTTAGAGTTGATATTTTTATTTTATAATTAAGGCTGAGAATGCCACTTTGTATAAATGTGTAGTATAAAGTAACAGAAATAGCCCTGTAAGGTTTATCCTAGCAATGCAAAGTCAGTTGAGCATCAGAACACCAGTCTATGTCACCACCCCCCAAACACACACAGATAATAGACTACGAAGAAACACCAACTACTCACTTCACTGGTGAAGAAAATGTATTAAAGTCTTAGCAAACCAGAACTAGGTCAACATCTTAACTTCATAAAGTTTGTAAGGAAAACCTACAGAAAACATTTTTCATCATGGAAACACTTTAAATGCATCCCCTGTGAGGTAAGAAATGAGACAAGGTCACCACCACCAACACCACTGTCCAATGCACAGAGACGTTGAGTAGATATGCAGATAGTGTAGGGACGTGAGGGAAAGGCGAGTCCTTGAAGGTGTTTCCATCACCTGCCTGGAAAATCCAACAAAACCAATGGGCACTAACGTGGATTCTGTGACACTGGATGAAGGTGTGACCTATGAAACCAGTTTCTCACCACAAAAGGCCCAGTATCTGACTGCAGGCCCAGCGATTTGGTACTAAGCACAGAGCATGGTAGACGGGAAGCAGAATGACATCCATAATGCCTTGATCCCAGAGTAAACTGATGCTGAGAGAACACTGGGAGCCTAGCATGTCTACCAAGACCATCAAGAAGCAGAGCAAAGACCGTAAAGAATCTCTCACCCAGGACCCTAAAGAATTTCTTCAGTAAACAAGACCTACTCAGCCTCTTCACTGTACTGAGACTAGGCAAACAGCTTTGGCCTCTGAATCACGTCTTCATCCACAAAATGTGATGTTTGGGATGACTGCCTCTCGGGGATCTTGGGTGGATTAGATACAATGCAGAGAAAGCCTTTTAAAAGCTCATATTTGGAAGAGGTGGATAAGAACAACTTTTATAAAGATTAAGTCCTTACCCATATTGCCAGCCTCCAGAGCAGCAGAGCCCACCTACCTGCTGGCTGCCTTCCAAACTCCAGCATCCGCAAGGGTTAAGGATCTTGGCTGCCCGCCAAGCAGAAATAGTGTTAGCCCCCCAGCAAGCACAGCATTCCCCTATCTGTGTGATCTCCCAGCCCCCAGCCCAGCCTTCAGAAATGAAAGCCCAGCCAGCCTGGCTGAGACGCCTCTGCTGGCTGCATCCTAATGATCTCCACCAGGGAGAGTGGGTGCCCCCCTCTCAGCTCCCTCACTTCCCCAGCTCCAGAGGAACCTGGAGCTGCCCCCGAGCTGTCAGCTCACATGTGTGAGAAAGATTGGGTTGTTTCAGCTGCTGGTCCAGTGGGTTTGGGGGAGGAAAAGAAGAGGGAGGATGGGGTGTAGGGGCAGTCTAGTCATTGTGCCCCAGAGACCCCTTACACTGTTCTGTAAGTGTGGCCAGGGGATTTCACACTGAAGATTATAGCTCACTAATGAGTTGCAAAATCCATCTAGAGGGATGTGACCCACATTTTGAAAAAGCAAACTGGAATAGAAAACAATGCATTGCATGTCAAAAGGTGTCAGATTTTATTTCAGCCATCAAACATCCGAAACACAGGCTCTGGAGTCCCCCAGCCAGCCATGCAACCCCAGGTACTTTGTCCGGCCTCAGTCCCCTTGTCCTGCAGAAGCGCGTGGGAAAGGTGCCAAGTGCAGGCTCTGGCTCTGCCTTGTCTCCCACCTTCCTTGGGAGAATGGTCACAAAAACTTGAAGGACACTAGACTCAAGCATTAAGTACAAGACCCGCTTATGACAATTCAGGGTACAGCTTTGGGCAAGGGAGTTGCTCTGAGCAAATTAGAATAAAGGGACTGGTAAGAATCCCCAGGGGAGGTCTGCGAGCGGTGCCCTTCACTTCTTCCTCTGCTGGGTTTCCTGGGAGGAGATTGTTGTGACTCCTGCTGGCCAAGAAGTCAACTGCTCTGTGTGCATACCTGTGTGTGTGCGTACGTGCATGTGTCAGTGTGCACATGTACAAGTCAGAGGACAACCTCAGATGTTGGTCTTTGCCATCTATCTTGTTCGAGACAGAGTCTCTTTGTTGCTGTGTATGCCAAGGTAGGTGACCCATTAGCTTCCATGGACTCTCCTGTCTCTACCTTCCATCTCCTAGTAGGAACCTGGGATTATAGATAAGTGTTAGCGTCTCCAGCTTTATGTGGTTTCTGGGAAACTGAACTCAGATGCTCAGACTTGAATGGCAAGTGCTTTACACACCAAGCCATCCCTCTAGCCCCACTTTTTTTTTTTGCTGTTGTTTTGATACAGGGTCCCACTATATAGTCCTGGTAGACTTGGAACTCACAGAGTAGACCAGTCTGGCCTGGAACTCACAGAGATGAGCCTGCCTCTGCCTCTGCCTCTGCCTCTCCAGCACTGGGACTAAAGGTGTACAATACCACACCCAGCCTCCTGCCTTATTTTTGAGATAGGGTCTCTCTTTGGCCTGGAGCTCATCAGTTTGGCTGGCCAGCAAGCTCCAGGTATCCACCAGTTTCCACCTTCTCAGTGCTAGAGTAATAAGTGTGTGCTGCCACACTTTTTTTCATAATTTGGGTGCCAGGGATAGAACTCAAGTCCTCATGCTTTCACAGCAAGCACCTTACCAATTGAGCCATCTCTTCAGTTCCACAATTGATTTTTTTAATATTTTTATTTATTTTTAAAATTTTATTTATTTTTATTTTATGTGTATGCATGTATTGCCTGCATGTAGGTAAGTGCACCCATGTCATGCAATGCCCGTGGAGGTCAGAAGAGACTGTCGGATCCCCTGGGACTGGAGTTACAGACAGTTGTTAGCTGCCATGTGGGTGTTGGGATTCAAACCTGGGTCTTAACCGCTGAGCCATCTCTCCAGTCCTATTTATTATTTTTTATTTTATGTGTATGAGTATATTGTCTGCATGTGTGTAAGTGCACCCGTGTCGTGCAATACCCGTTGAGGTCAGAAGAGGTTGTTGGATCCCCTGAAGCTGGAGTTACAGATGGTTGTTAGTCACCGTGTGGGTACTGGGAATCAAACCCAGGTCCTCTGCAAGAGCAGCCAGTGCTCTTAACCTCTGAGTCATCTATCTCTCCTGCCCCATCCACAACTGAT